GACGTGTTTTGTGAAGGTACACTAACAAGACATAGACAAGTATATTACTGCAAGAACTTGTCTGCAACAGCCGACTGATCAAAGACGTGTTTAAACCTGTTTTATTTGGAATAACCCCATGCATGTATAAATTGGAACCCTTGTAGCAATATTTTTTTATTTACCCTCATATGGTTATCTGGGTTATATTGTATCTTTGTTATAATTAGCTGTTATTGGAAACACCATAAAATGTCTTTTTTATGCAGCTTGCTCCTTTAATTCTCAGACACATTATATATACAGCACTGAGCCACAGTAGTGTTTACTATTAGATATAAATTTGTCACTGCTTCTTTCTGTTCAGACACACACATTTTCTGCCATACTGTGTAAACATTTAGAAACTCACGATCTCTAACTGCTTGGCCAATATAAATACCAAATAACTGTATTTCGTGGCAGCACCATTTTATTTTTTTTTGAAAACAATCTATATTTAAAATATCAGCTCTTTCCTAATCCATTGAGGTTTCATTTTTGGTTTTTATATTTTCTGTCACCCCTTTATTCTAAATATTGTCATTGTTATTAATGGTTTAATAGTAGCATTTTAAGCTGTGTTTTTCTAACATAGAATCATTTTGTTTATTTATTAAACATGTAGGAATATACACCACTACTGAAAAGAAATATGCTTTCTTGGAATGTCTCTTTATTTTTCATTTTTTCACTTTTGATAGAGTGAAAAAACACCACCACTACATTTTCCTCTAAAAGCTGCTTGAAGGAAAAGCAGAGTGTTCATCAGACAGTGTGGGGCAGCAGAGAGTAGTGACAATGCTGGCACTAACTAGAGAACTTTGCATCTAAAAGGCTCAGCTAAGCTGACTTCCAGGACTCCACATACATAGATAGATGGACCTAAACCATACTAATGTAGGTTATGCCACTATGTTCACATGTGGTTCTTTGCGAACACAGACGAACTCAGATCCAGCTTCAATGGAGTAGATCTAACACTAAAAAAATGTTGTCTTTTACAAATTATAACCTTTCCTGTACTTGTATAAGTAGTATACTTTCCAAGTGTATATACATAGTCTCATTTTATCCTTACTTCATTTTGGTAAGTGCTGTAGAGTTGGTTCCACTCATGTTGTTGTTGGGTGCCAACTCTGAGTGACCTATGCATAACAGAACAAAAGACTGCTCAGTCCTGCACCAAACTCACAATCATTGCTGCAGCTTAGCCCATTGCTTTTGCCACTGTGCCAGTCTATCACAGTGAGGGCCTTTCTCTTTTTCGTAGACCTTGCACTTTACCAAACGTAATATCCTTCTCCAGGAATTGGTCCTTCTGATAATATGTCCAAAGTATGAGAGACGAAGTCTCGCCATCCTGGCTTCTAAGAAGCACTCTGACTGTACTTCTTCCAACACAGATCTGTTTGTTCTTTTGGCAGTCCTTTCAACATCCTATTCCAGCTCCATAACTCAAATGCATCAGTTCTTCTACGATCTTCCTTATTCTATGTCCAACTTTTGCATGTGCATGAGGTTATTGTGATAACAAGCAATACCATGGCTTGCGTTAGGAGTACCTTAGTCCTCAAACAGACAACTTTGCTCTCCAACACTTTTTTTTTTTTTTAACTGTTTTATTGTAAATTATGTGATAGTTTAGATGGGAGAACATTAGCTTTACATTCATCCTATCGTATATTGTTACATTGCCATGGTTATAATCCCCTCCATGCATCATCAGCCAACCAAAGGCTATACCATACAAACCTGCCCCCCAGTTGTCAGCACACAGCCCCTCTCCTTCTCTGTGTCTAGAGTTCCCAGCCACTCCATCTCTCCATGTCATTGTCTCTGTCTCCATCTCTGGCATCACTGTTTCTCTGGGTAGGGTCCCGCACTCTGCTCTTCTCCCTTGATAGTCCCAGGTATCTCTGTTCCTGGCCTGCAAAGTCAGCCACTCCCCTCCTTTTGCTACAAAATGTCTACGTTTACATTTCCAAACCTCACGGTCAGTCCAGATAGTAATTATTCATTATTGTACCACATGAGTGCTGTCCCCATCTCCTTTCATTTGTCCCGCATAGACAGATTGGATACTTCTCAGTAGAGATTCTACCTTCCTCTGTACCCTCTGGATCTAGGCTCCTTCTTGAAAGCTTGTAAGCCAGTCACTTCTTGCCTTTGTAGTCCCCCCATTTTGGGTAGCCAATGTCCAAGTTGCCCATCCTTGTCTACCCTGTGTGTTGAGGGGGTGGGAATGATCCTCGCTGTAAAGGTTTGTTCCCTCTTTAGAGCTACTGCATCCATAGGTGTAGGTCAGGTTCATCAAATTGTATCAGATTACTCTGTTTTTCCTTCTTCTTTCTTCTTCTAGTTGAGCTCTGATCATCCAGCCATTGAAGCCAGGTCAAGTGGGTATTATCTACAAGTGTGGGTGTTCTTGTGCATATGCCTTTTGTTCTTATCAGCTGGATGCTTCACTCTCCACTCTAGTCCTCTGTGACTATGTCATTGACTCTGGGCCCAAGAGTCCCCAGGTCTTGCCAAACTACTGGCCAACCAGGTCTTCACTTGGGTTCACAGGAGTCTGTTGAATATGGTTGGACTTAGCTCACAGCTTCATTGCTGTTATTCCCTCACTTCCCCTTTTCGGTGACTAATGTGGTCACCAGTCAGAGCATGTGTCTGCTCATGTATTCCCAATGAGTCTTAGTCTTGGAAGGGGGTTTGCCCTGAGGGAACCTGACTGCTTGCCTTGATGTCTCCTGGGCAGGCAACTTGCTTGTTCTACTTGTAGGAGTCATTTGGACTACTGTTATTGTTTTGTATTTTTCCTGTTGGTCTTTCTTTCAAAAAGTACCTTCTGTTCTTCTAGCTGCTCCAGGTTGGTCTGCTTGTCCTTTCAAGTGGGAATTTCCCACCTTAGACGATTCTGGATGGGGTTCAGGGTTCCACCTATGCAATGCAGAGGCTCCACAGGAAGCCTCCTTTACTTTCCTTCTTGTTTTCTCAATGACTTTTTGCTTTCTTCGTGTATGGTGTTCTTGATGTCATCCCACAAGTCTTCTGGTCTTCAGTCTTTAGTCTTTAATGTATCAAAAATCTGTTCTTCAAATGATCTCTGAATTCAGGTGGGATATATTTAAGGTTATATTTGGCTCTCTTGGACTTGTTTTATTTTCTTCAGCTTCAGTTTGAATTTGCATACGAGTTTGCACAGTCTGTCCCTGGCCTTGTTTTCACTGATGATATGGAGCTGTTCCATCATCTCTTTCTGCAAATGTAGTCAATTTGATTTCTATGTATTCCAGCTGCTGAGGTCCATGTGTATACTAGTCTGTTATGCTATCTAAAGAAATGAACAAATCATTGCAGAATTCTATTATGCGTTCTCCAGCATCATTTCAGTCACCAAGACCATATTTTCCAACTACGGATCCTTCTTCTTTGCTCCCAACCTTTGCATTCCAATGCCCAGTAATGATCTTGATTGCATGTTTGATCAATTTAAGATTGAAGAAGTTGGTAGAATTCTTCTATGCCATCCTCACTGGCTTCAGTGGTTGGTGCATAAATTTGAATAATAGTGCTATTAACTGGGCTTCCTTGTAGGCGCATGGATATTATCCTATCACAGACAGCGTTGTACCTCATAACTGATCCGGATATGGTGTTTTTGACAAGGAATGCAACACCATTCCTCTTCAATTTTCATTCCCGGCCTAGTAAACAATGTGGTTGTCAGATTCAAAATAGCCAATACCAGTCCATTTCAGCTGACTAATGCCTAAGGTATTGATGTTTATGCATTCCATTTCATTTTTGACAACTTCCAATTTTCCCAGATTCATATATTGTACATTCCATGTTCCGATTTTCAGTGGTTTCGCTTCATTTTGAGTTGTGCCCCATCAGCAAATGAAGGTCCTGCAGGCTTTTCTCCCATGGGCTTTACTCCATTTGTATCATCACAGTCAATTCTACTTTGAGCAGTCAGCTCTTCACCAGTCGCATTTTGAGTGCCTTCCAACCTGAGAGGCTCATTTTCCAGCACTATATCTGACAGTGTTTCTCTGCTATTCATAAGGTTTTCAGTGACTAAATATTCGGAAGTAGCTAGTCACTCTTTCTTCCTAGTCTGTCTTCTGGAAACTCATCTGAAACCTGTCTACCATGGGTGACCCTGCTAGTATTTAAAATACCAGTGGCATAGCTTTCAGAATCGCAGCATCTCACAAGCCAGCACAGTATGACTAACTGACAGACGAGTGGTGAACAGACTCCTCACTACATCCCTTTAAAAGTAACTATTACCTGTCCAAGAAATTGGAATACCAATATTTAAGTCCAAAATGGAGTAAGTGGGAAAAGTCAAAGTGAAATTCCTGGCATGTGACATCACTCAGTAAATTTCCCCCTGTGATAGAAGGAGGGAAGGAGGGTGTGTGTGTGTGAGAGCGCGCGCGAGAGAGAGAGTGAGAGAGAGACAGAGAGAATCTCTTAATGAGAACTTAAAGGAGCTCTGGTAGCGTAGTGGTTACGAATTGGGCTGCTAACCTCAAGGTCGGCACCTCGAAACTCCCTGCCGTTCCTCCAGAGAAAGATGAGGCTTTCTGCTCCCGTAAAGATTTACAGCCTCGGAAACCTGTGCAGGGTCACTATGAGTCGGAACCGACTACACGGCACATAACAACAATTTTATGGTTACTGGCATGGTAGCAATTGCTGAATGAATTCAGGAATTTACCAACACTGTTTCAGGTAATATTCAGTGTCAAATCATTAAGTAAGGATGAAAGACTCTCAAATGCTTTTTTGGTGTTGCTAATTTTATAAAATTTAATTATGAAGTTAGGTTCTGTTTCAAAGTAGTTTTCTGGTTATTGACATGTAAACTTTTGGTCCTGGTTTATTTGTATAAGTAAAGAAATGAACTGAAGTGTTAAAACCAGTCAGGTATCAAATCATCATATGAATTTTCTCTTTGTCTACAGGAGGGACGCAGAGATTACCACGCACTATTGGAATGTCCTTGGCAAAGGAGCTCATCTTTTCTGCACGCGTATTAGATGGCCAGGAAGCCAAAGAAGTAGGCTTGATCAGCCATGTTCTAGAGCAGAACAAAGAAGGGGATGCTGCCTACAAAAAGGCGTTGGACCTAGCAAGAGAATTTTTACCTCAGGTATTTCTCATCATATTCCCTTTTTTTGTCCAGAATAAATTGACAAAAACAGACAATCATCCCTTGGCTTGCATTACAGGTAAAGGAATATATATGGCAACTGTAAAACTAGACACATTATCCTAGATAAACATTAAGACTGTCCAGAATTAAGATTTGGAGATTATCTGATGGCATCTGTAGCCATACTGTGATACTGTATCATGTGAACAGCATTTATCATCTGTGACAAATCTTGGGAGAAAGTTATGTTAAGTGGTTCATCAACTGAAATCTCCAACTTGAACTGTGCATATGGCAAGAAATTGATGGGTGGGTCATTGTGCTGGTCCATCCCCAAGTTCAAACACATTAAAACATATTTTTTTCTAATAGTAAGGAGACCCCAATTTGTTAAATCAAACTAGGCTTTCATTATGATGGCTTAATTTGTAATAACCTACTTGAAAAGCAGGAGTTTCTTGTTTGTTTATGGTGTTGGCTCCTTTGTGTACAACATGCTTCCTCACATTCACATTGTCAAGATCCAGAATGTGTTCCCCATTGGTTCCAGTGTGACTATACTAATGACTGATATTGGACACCGTGCATTGGTGATCTTGTTATAAGGGTATCATTGTTATCATTATTTGAGGTGCATTTTCAAATATTCCTTTGGCCTTAAATCAGGAATTAAAGGATTTTTAACTTGATAGTCCTGTTATATAGCACTGTGGGTTAATGTGCTGGATAGGGAGTTCGGTTTGAACTGCAAGGTCAGTGGTTCAAGCTCATCAACCGCTCCTGGAAACCCTATACAGGGTGGCTATGAGTTGGAATTGACTTGATAGAACTTAACAACAGCAATAACTTGAGAGGAGGAGTCATCTTTTGCTATTAAATCAGTGGTATCTCTTCTCCCTGTTAGAGTTTGAAGTTTTATAAATCTCCCAGCCATTTATTTCTGTAGTCAGAAGAACTCCCATTTTAACTCACAGTAACTTAACACAAGCAGGACTCATAACTTGTTTTTAAGCCATGGATTTCTGAGAATCTATAATGGCATCTCTCCCCAGAAACATGCATATCTCCACCCACATGTGTTCAAGGTGTTGCTCTAGTCTTGGAATGTTCTCTTGGACCTCACTGTAAGGACCTTTGCAGGTACCTAAATGTGCTTGGAAAGGAGCTCAGTGCAGAGTAATGTGCTTGGGCTAATGGTGTCTCCCACAGATGCCCTTTCATCTTTGATCTTTTATGCTTGAGTATGCACAAAACTCCGAACTGTCGTTAGAGAGATAGAAACCAAGCAAAACAGGTGCCAGAAAAACCTTGCTGTCTTCTGTATCCTATAGTGGGAGCAGTGTCTTCCACTTGACCTGAGCATGCCTTCCATTGTGCAGGATGTGCTGCGTATTTATCTATGCGAGCTGCCTCCCAGCATACCTTTACTATCCCTGACAAGTCTTTACTGTTTGTCTGTTCCTGTCATATGACTCTTCCTGCAGGACTATTTCAAATCACACCACTTTCACTCTCCAAGACCTGTAGTAAGGCAGCACATTGTGTGTGGTGATGGAAGCGAGGTCAATGGTTACTTATAGAAGTAGAGGATTGTTTAGGAAAAAGCATAATGAAACATTCGGGAGAGATAGAGGTGTTTGACTGGGGGAATGGTTAATGTAGTACATATATCTGTCAAAACTCATCAGATTGTGTGCTTAAATTTCAGGTTTAAAAACCTGTGCTTGTTTCTCACTGATTGCAAGATCTTTGTTGGGCTCTGGATTGGCTGGCCTTCAATGAGCCCTGCAGTCTGGCCCAGCCCTCCCTATAGCTCCGTCCCAGGCTGTTCCACAGCAAAATACTCTGTCCTAGCATTTCAGTTTGTTGTTGTTGTTGCTTTTTTTTAATGACACTTTATGTGGAACCCCAATATGTGAAGTAGATAAAAGCTAGTTTAATATTTAGATATGAATTTATGCCATTTGCCCATTATAAAGCCTATCAGTCATATAACCTAACTTAGTGCATTATGGGTACCTCCCTACTCAGTGAAATTCTAGAAGACACTTGTGTATCCATGTCACAAAATTGTTCTGAGCAGTTTTACATTAGATTGTGGAGAATAAATTTCCTGACAAGCATATGCCCTCCATACATGATAGTTAGAAAGTCCCATCAATAGCTCGGCTTGATATTCGCCTCCCACACCCATTATCCACAAGGCCCAGTTCTTCCATGATGCATTTGATCCCCAATAATTCTCAGACTGGGAAGTCATTGTTGAGTTTGGTTTTTAAAACCACATTGCCTGGTATTGGTATTACTTTGGTCCATCTTAATTCATTTATAAGCTGTAAGTTTTTTTAAGGCCAGTGCCTTACTCCCCACATAAACTAATAGAGCCTTAGACTCAGTAGTAGAGGTTCAGTAAAGATGTATTAAATGAATGTAGCTAGGGCAAATAAATATTTTTACTGCTTTAAAAAAATTCTCACTACATAACTGTGGTGTTAGTATTTTCCTTAATTATTAGCAAAACATATACATAAAAAGAGATTAAACGTACCTAAAATAGTAGCAAAATGTCCACGAAGTAGAGATTAAATCAGTAGAATTTGTTTAAATATTGGTTTAGTGACTTCCCTTGGCTTAAAAGTTTAAGACCAAACATAACTTAATTGAAATAAAGGGGTATGTTTAAGAAAGGTTATAGCCTAATTTTGGTTTTGATTATTCATGGCCACTCTTAATCCTGCCTGAGTTTGTAGCTGCCACATTCAGAACTCCACATAGCACATTAGCCCCTTAGCAAGTCTGGAGTTCAGATTTATCTTCATTCTTGTGAACTTATTATTTCTCCGTGGTCCTTGATACAGTTAATGATGCCAGTTTCCACACATGTCTGCTTCAGAATTGGGGACATTTTTCCTTCTGTCCCCCACTCCTTCACATGTAATCTGTCATCAAGCAACCTTCCACTATGTGATAAACCACACTGGCATCGCCCTCCTAGTTCATGTAATCTTCATTGTGGGCCTAATTGTTGATATTCAGTTTTCTCCAGACCATATTTACAAGGAGATGTTAAATGACTTCAGAAAATATGTAACTGAGAAACTATCTGCAAAATTTACAAAATGATACATGAGTTTGCAGTAAATTTTATTTTTGCAGTCATTATTTCGTCGCTGAGATTATAATTCCAAATAACAGAAAAATTCTGTAAAATTAGTATTTCTAGATGACTTCTGTGTTATGTTACTTCCATTTGTCTTCTAAGAAAAGGTTGTGGAAAAGAGGCATGTGTTTTATGTTTTAAAAGGGAAGCTGGTAAAAATCAAGCATTCTCTCTACTGTAATTTTCACATTTCTATCTTTTTCAGAGTTTTCTAAGCCATACTACCCAAAGTAGACACAGGCATCCCCTGGGAACTTGTTAGAAATGCAGAATCCCAGGCCATACCCCAGACATAACTGTGAAAGTATTGATGCTCCATCCATTCCTCCCACAGCTGTCTATACATCTGTCTGTGATAATTCATTGCAGACCACACAGAACTCAGACACCGTACTCAGAGTTATGGGGTTTATTAGGGAAATTAACAGCTTACATACAATTCAGGATCAGAAATTTTTCAGGGCACAGCTGGTCCAGTCAGCTGCTGATAAATGCACAGGACACATAACTCCACTGTAAGCCACAGCCTAAATGCATTTGACTCTAGCTCTGTGGGTTAGCAAACCTAGCTCCCTTTCTTAAGTGCCTGGAGGCACCCCACTCTACAAGCAAGTTTCCTGCCCAGAGTTACTTAGTTTTACTTGCTCTGTGGGCTGGGAAGCCCACTGTTCTGTCTTGTTCTCTGGTTCTTGGTTTTCCTGCTGCTGCTTTGCCAGTCCTCGAGTGTCACAGCTTCTCAAGTCCTTGGGTCAAGGAGGTTCAAAGTGCAGCGATCTCAGGGTCCAAAGGACACTCTCCATGCCTGGTTCTTTCTCTTTGATGGTAGTGAGATCCCCCTTCCTACTTCTGAGATGGCTCATGTTATACCCATGGTAGAGTTCAAGTTTTCTCAATTACAATTAACTGTTAACATCTACAGCTGAATTATGTCATCCTGTTAGTATCTTCTCCCACCTTCTCTTACTCAGACCCATCAGAAAAAGAGTCATGCTGGGAGGGAAAAGAGTCAGGCTAGACAATTCACTACATGTCACCTACTAAATTAGAAACTGCAATTTAACAAGGGTTCTAGAGATTCATGTACACATGAGAGTTGGTGAGCTCTTTGTTTGGATCATTAGCCATAAAAGTGAGTGGAAAAGAATCATCAATGTGAGGAGCAAATAGTTTTTAAAAAATGGTTTGGTGGTCCTGAAAAAATAATACCAGTGTGCATGTCACACCTGCAAATCACATTTAGAAGAATTAAGATTGAGGTACTTGTTGAAGTAACAGACTCTTAGAAAACTGTGGCATATGAAAGGTTACTTAAGTATGTGACTGAAGAAGAGAGTTGAGAGTTTAGATATGTCAGATTTGATCATAGAAATCCCTAGAGGAAAAAAAGTGGCATTTTTATGTATTCATTCATCCATCCATTCACCTAGTAGCCATTAGAGTCCTTTGATAGGTCAGCTATTTAGAATTTACCTTATATTTCAATTCAAAAGACTATTTAAAATATGCCACTGAATTCAAGTTTATTACCCATAAACAACTTTTAGGAATTGAAAAAATAAATAACCCTATGTGGGTGGTTGTGGTTCTTTATAGGGTAAGAGTTGAACTTCCATAGACCAAAATGGCACTCTCCTTCTCACAGAGGGTTACATGGTTTTTTTCTTGTCATCTTTTACACATGTGGGACATGCTTTGTTGTTATTGTTTAAGTGCTGTCAAGTCGATTCTGACTCATGGTGACCCTATAGAGGGTTTCTGAGGAATTACAAACCTTGCAATTGAAACTGATCTCCAGTATTTATCTAACAGCACCACATCAGGATCCTAGGACATGCTAGGGGACTTTAAAAAATTCATGGAAAATTCCATTATCTTTACATTCCATTTTCCACAAGCTTTTTGAACCCCCCTCCTATCCTTAATAATATACCTGTCATCTCTAATAGGTATTAATGCAAATGGAAGTAAGATACTGAGCTAGTATCTGTAATCAATTATTTCTGAACCCTACATTAACCAACACTGTCAGCCTCCACACCAGCCCAAGGTTCTGTTGTAACCACCAATCAGTGTGGTGATAAATGTTGTTGCCCGTTTCTTTCCATTCCTAACTTCTAGGGGGAATTGTGTGTTGGAAAATGTAAAACTCTCTACTGGACACATACTACCTGCTGGCCTTCAAGAATCTAGTGCTCTCTGCATAACTGAATGTTTGTAGAATTTAAATCACTTGCTGGTGTAAATAGTTATCACAATTTACTGCTTCATTATAATTAAATTCCCACACATTAAAATTCTCTCAACCATAGTTGCTTCTATGCCATAGATTCAGCATGGGGGTTTTTGAATGATGCTGGGATGTGCAACATAATTTGCCTAAATAGTAATGGAAATCTGTTTCTTTAATCTGAACTTTAGGGACCTATCGCAATGAGAGTGGCAAAATTAGCAATTAATCAAGGGATGGAGGTAAGTTAACTTATTGCTTGCTTTTTATTGTTGGACTAGAGAATGATGGTACCTGTGCACCATCAAGTAGATTCCAACTCATAGGGTTTCTGAGACTGTAAATCTTTACATGTCCAAAAAGCCTCATCTTTCTCCCATTAAGTGGCTAGTATATTAGAACTACTGACTTTGGTTAGCAGCCCAACTAGTAACCCACTACACTGCCAGTGTTCCTTGGACTAGAGAAAGAGATTTATTTGACTAAGCCTAGATAGATATCTGTATTATCTTTTAATGTGATGATATATAGCCATTTGTTACTACTACTGAAAGTCATTGAGGTTCTTTTTGCTACATCATCAATTCCATTCTGCTTATGGTATTGTTAGGAGCACAATGGCTCTGTGGGATAAGCACTGGACTGTGAACCACAAGATCAGCAGTTTGAGACCACCACCCTCTCTGTGGGAAAAAGATGAGGCTTTCTGTTCCCACAAGATTTTCAGCCTCGGAAACCCCATTCCAGGTTGCTATGTGTCAGAACTGACTCGCTTAACAGCAACAACATGGTGGTGTTCATTCAGTATTGTAATCACAGAGTTCGGTAATGTATGCTGTAGTTTATACCATGCTTGCTATTTTTGCCATTGAGTTAATAAACTTGTTGGCTAGAAACCCAAAAGAAAAGGGCATTCTGTGTATTCTCAGCACCAATATTGTTGTTGCTAGGTGTCCTTAGGTCAGTTCTGACTCATAGTGATTTTGTAATCAACAGAAAAAAACACTACCAAGTCCTGTGCCATCCTTTTCATTGTTAATGTTTGAGCCCATTGTTGCTGCGCCTGTGTCAGTCCCTCTTGTTGGGGGGGGAGGGGTCTTCCTCTTTTTCACTGACCCTCCACTTAACCATGGGGACTGATAACATGTGCAAAGTATGAGAGACATCTTGGCTTCTAAGGAGCACTCTGCCTGTATTTCTTCCAATACAGATTGATTTGTTCTTCTGGCATTCCATAGTACTTTGAATATCCTTCGTCAATACCATAACTCAAATGCATCAATTCTTCTCTGGTCTTGCTTATTTATTGTCCAACTTTCATATGCATATGAAGCTATTGAAAATGCCATGGCTTAGGTCAGGTGTACCTTATCCTCAAACTTATATCTTTACTCTTGAACACTTAGTGTGTAACAGATTTGCCTAATGCAGTTATTTGATTTCTTGATTGCTGCTTCCCTAAGTGTTGACTATCGATCCAAGCAAAATGACGTCTTTGACAACTTGAATCTTTTTTTGGTTATTTATAGGTCCAGTTGTGAGGATTTTTGTTTTCTGTACATTGAGGTGCAATCCATACTAAAGGCTGTATTCTTTGATCTTTACCAGTAACCAATATTATAGTATAAGAAAACATTCAAGGAAAATGTCTCAGCTCAAAGCTGAATCCAGTTCTCTTCCCTTTAACATCTCAATGAGCTTTCTGCAAGGAATCTCACATAGACTAAGCAAATCTGTCAGATATCCTGGAGTTCCTCCAGGAAATATACGCCAAAGAAGTGGAACCCCAGACCAGGGCAGAGGAACAAAAGAAAAGCACAGGCACCCTTTGACAGTGGGGTTCAAAGTGAAGCTGTTCTGTGATTAAATTATGTGAATTTTGAAGGTGGTACTTCCATTTGAGATCTAAGAGCTGCTATGTCTTTCTGGCCTCCATAGCAGTAAAAAGAGATTGAATTTGTTAGTGGTAAATGCTTGAACTAGCAGCTACAATGTTGTTAAGTGCCATTGAGTCGGTACCAACCCATAGCAACCCTGTATAGGGTTTCAGAGGAGCAGCTGGTGAACTTGAACTGCTGACCCTGCAGTTCAAACTGACTTTGCAGTCCAGCACATTAACCCACAGTGCCACATCAGGACTCCGTGTACCTTATATATAGTGTGGGTTATACATTTCCCTTTCTAAGCATTTTTGAGAACATAACTGTAATTTCCAAAACTGTAGGGTAAAAGCATATTGTTCCTCTAGGGATGCAAGCTGAACTCTCTAAAATGGAGTCCTGGTGTGGTGCTGTGGGATAAAGCACTGGACAGCAAAGTGCAAAGTTGGTTTAAACCACAAGGTCAACGGTTCAAACCCACCAGCGGCTCCTTGGAAACCCTATACAGGGTCATTATGGGTCGGAACCAACTCAGTGGCAGTTAAACAACAATATGCTAGGTTATATTTATATTTCATATGCATGCATGCATATATGTTTCACCACCACCACCTATATATGTGGAAAAGTGGAATTGAAAAATGGATTTTTTTTTCACAAACTTTTTGAAGCCCACTTATATCATTTATTTTTCTACTGCTATTAAGTAGGTATTTCCTACTGCCTATTAGGTGTGGGTTTCATCATTAGACCAGTGTTCAGACATGCCTCTCTGAGGCACAGAGAGGGTAAATAAATTGCCTAAAGTCTTACAGCTTCTAAGAGATGGAGTCGGGATGTAAACTCCAGTAACCTGTCTCAGTAGCCTCTGGCACTGGCCATAATTCTGTTACATGACATCAAAGGGCTTTGGTTTTTTGGAATATGGTTATTACTTTTGAATTTATATAGTATGTACCTGTACATATTGTATATTCCTGCTGAAATGAACTTTGTTTTTATCCTCAGGTTGATTTAGTAACTGGATTAGCTATAGAAGAAGCTTGTTATGCTCAGGTATGTAAAACAATCGCGTATTCAATGAGGCTGCACTCTTAATTATAATGCCTACCTTTTGTATAATTCAAATGAATTCTATATTCTGAGCAAGCTTGCCACTTGCCCATTCCAAACTCATGCAAATGGGTTGAAATAGTTGTTTCTGCTGTTTAATGATTACCAGCCAGCGCTAATGACAGGTTTTGCGGCTCAGGCTGAACTAAAATGACTGAAGTGACTCTGGTGAACATGATTTAGAGACCTCTGTGTGTAATTAGGCTAGTGCCATACAGTGTATCCAGACTTACTGTTGTATTTTGTGTGTATGCAGAGAATGGTGGCAGAAGGCTGTGAGCCATCAGCTGCCTCATACAAACCTCAGTGTGGAAGGTTTGTGGACTGTGTCCTAGGAGCTGAGGCTCATTTCTTGTCCCCTAGAAGTTCACGCATGAATATACACAGACATTTTGTACACAATAAGGCATTGTGCCAAGAACGTAATTTTTTATTTTTATTTCTGAAAATAATGTAACTGGTATCTTTGCTTTGTTGTTGTTAAGTACTGTTAAGTCAATTGCAACTCATAGCGTCCCTGTATAGGGTTTCCAAGGAGCAGCTAGTAGATTTCAACCACTTAACTTGTGGCTAGCATTGTAAAAAGTTTTGTATTACTTTCCCTGAGAATTGGAAATTGCATACACTCCAGCTCTAGCCTGGTGGTGTCCAGAACTGTGAGCATTATGAAGATTGTGACTCTGCCTAGGATGTGCATAGAATGCCATGAATAAAGTCAGTTATAAACATTTCAGAAATGAACAGTCTCATTGTCCAAAGAGAAATCTGAGAAGGATATTTGGAATTTAAATGATAAATTTAGTAGCATAATTAGGAAGATTGTTCAAATGACTAACTGTTTCTGTGTGCCATTTCAACTCGTTGATTTCAACTCAAAGAGACCCTTTCTGGGCCATAAATCTTTATGGAAGCAGAATGCCCAGTCTTCTCTCCCACAGAGCTTCTGGTGGATTCTGACCTTTAGTAGATGAAAATTGTAGAATGTGCTTCTAATTTGTTTCCTCAGATAAAGCTTATTAAACTCTTAACAGTTGTTTTCAATTTTTGGCATAATATTTTCTTTTTCTTAGACCATTCCAACAAAAGACAGACTTGAAGGTCTTCTTGCTTTTAAAGAGAAAAGACCCCCTCGTTATAAAGGAGAATAGAAGACACAGAAATCTTTTAAATGCTCATGTAAGAAATATACTTCTGGAAGTATCTTTCAGATGCACTATATGCCTCATCACATGGAATTTCACCAATTTATGTGAAATGCGAATTGTTCCTGTAGTGTATTAAATATCTGGAATGAACCCCTATTATGTATACCATGTTTAAATGTATATCATGCCATGTTTCTTCAGGTTTATAAAGCTACTAGTAGTGTATGGCGTCAAGATCAAAGATTCAAAATTAGTTATATGTTTTTTAAAATTTTCCTGCATATGAGGCTTTCCACTTTTAATTTTGTAATGTGAATAATTTATATATTGTACACCTTAGGAAATAATACTGAGTGTGTATGTCTGCTGTGCTGCATTAAGAAATTAAAATTATTTCTGTATACCAAAAATGTGAAGTTATACCAAATAAAATTTCTAAAGGATAATACACATGTACACATTTACATATATACATCTCAACCTGATTCTGAGTGAAAATTACCATATAGAAATAAAATTAGATGAAAACTAACTTGAAAAGTTTTTCTTTCCTCCTCTTCTAAGTGGATGATTTCCTGTTGGAGTTAGAAGAAGCAGCCTTCCCATGCGTATTGTCTCTGTCAGGTAGCTTTTCACAGCCATATAATATAGTGGTGGGCCTAGGGGTGGGAGCTTCATCCAGTCAGAAACTGGTGTCGGAATCTTGTAAGGCTAACCAGACACTAAGAGTTGTACTTTTGAAATCTCCTCCTAGCAAGTGGCCACCCCCAGCACCATTGTCCCTATTGCTATCAATTCTAACTTACAATGACCCTATAAGACAAATAGAACTACCCCATAGGGTTTCTGAGGTTGCATACTCCTATCTTTATGAAAGCCTACTGCCATCTCTTTTTCTCCCACAGAGCAGCTGGTGGGTTCAAACCACCAACCTTTTAGTTAGTAGCCAACAAGTTCTTATCCACCAGGGCCAGGACAATTCAAACAGGAAGAAAAAACAATAGTGCAGCCAAGGTTCCCATTGCCGTTGAGTCGATTCCAGTTCATAGAAGCTCTATAGGGCAGGGTAGAACTTCCTCATTGGTTTCCAGTACTCATCTTTACAGGGGTCTCCTAGTGTGGCATTTTAGGATAAGCACTGGACTGCTAACCCCAAGGTTGGCTGTTCAAACCCACCAGCTGCTCCTTGGAAACCTAGTACTGGGTTGCTATGAGTTGGAATCAACTCGACAGCACTTTACAACAACAGAAATCTTTACAGGAGCAGACTAGCATATATTTTTCCCATGGAGTATCTAGTGCGTACTATGCCAGCAGGTTGGATCCTGAGAATTGGCATGGACCATGGATAAGAGTAGAATGGTAGTCATTCTCTGTTTCCTTACTCTAACCATTTGCATCTGATTTCAGTGAGAGGAGAGAAGCATACGTTCTTTCTCTTCTAGCTGACCAGGTGAAACAGCTCTGAATAAAGGGGTATCGGTGGCCTGTATGATCATGTCAGGATAGCAAGGATAGATGTGGAGGATAGAATTCATTATGAAATAAGGAGAGTATTATAGTGCCCTTAAATAATGTTAGATGCCTTTGTTTTCTGTTCTTCTCAAACGAGATCGCTTTCTGAGTCTGGCGAGAAAAGAAATGCCCAGCTCACCACAGACATGCACTTCACTGATTTGTTAGCTGCTGGTGTACCACTGACCTTCGTTCCCATGATAGTCTGACACTTATAAATTATTCTCTCAGATACTGGCATGTGGAATGACAGTTGATTTTACTATGCATTTTCTTCTCGTTACTGTGATTTCATTGTTTGAAAGCATATGGACTTTTAGTTTTTAAAATTAGTAAGCGTAACTGAAATTACCCTCTCAATTTCAAGCCTAAAAAATAAATCTTATGACAAACATAGGTATACCCTAACAAAAGTGATACAGTGTCTTCACTGATGCCTATGTACAACACGCTAAATAAAAATAGAACACAGTTTTCTTTGTCTGCGCAGCTGCTAAGGCTATGTGGATTTATGATTGCTCAAGTGATCAACCTAATGTAAAAGGGCATATAAAAATTCATATTTGGCTTTTTGGTGTTTATATCTGGTGACACGTACCTTTTATCAACTGGTAATATTGCTGAGCTGTGTAATTCATACATGATGATGTTTCAGGGCTATTTTGTCTTGTCTGTGGCATTTTAAATGCCATTTCCATTTTAACTGACTAAGAAATAATTATGCTAACAGGTGTCATAGTTAAAAATTTTGTGACTGAACCAGGTTTCTCGGTGATTTGGCAATTGAGATGTAGTTATCCTCCATGGTGAGATCTAATATTATGTAATCATTTCTAAGATGAAGTCTTCTAGGAGTAGCCAACTAAAACTGAGGAAGTTTTCTCAGGGGTGTGGCCTGCTTCCAATATACTGGACTTAGTCAAACCTTGCTTGCTCTCTGATGGGTCTGGATCTTGCATCTGGCTCTATCTCCTATCTCTGATTCTTTGGACTTGAATCAGTAGCCTGCTTCATTACTTGACAATCCTGGAAGTTGTCAGTAGCCTGTCTTCTTACATCGGACCCTTGAACTTGGGGCTTTCCCACATCTAATACTGTGTGAAACATTTCCTTCATAAAAACTTCTCTTTATAAACTATGGATAATACTGCAATGAATGGGAGTTCCAGAACACTTCACCATACTTATTCAGTCTGTATGCTTAGCAAATAATCTGAGAAGCTGGATTATATGAATAAGAATATGGTATCAGGATTGGAGGAAGCTCATTAAGAACCTGCAATATATAGATGATACAACCTTGCTTACTAGAAGCAAAGAGAATTTTACTTACTAATGAAGATCAATGATTACAGTCTTTAGTATGGATTGCACCTCAAAGTAACGAAAACAAAAAACTTGATAACTGATCAATGACATCATGGTAGTGGTGGTGGTGATTATGTGTGTGGACTTGGTTCTGACTCATAGCAACACTGTATATAGGGTTTCTGAGGCTGTAACTCTTTACGGGAACAGAAAGCCTCAGCTTTATCCCATGGAACCACTGGTAGTTTTGAACTGCTGACCTTGAGATTAGGAGCCCAACTCATAACCACTACATTACCAGATCTCCTTCATGATAAATGGAAAAAAGATTGTCAAAGACTTCATTTTGCATAGACCCACAATCAAGACTCATGGAAGTATCAGTTAAGAAATCAAACCATATATTGCATTAGACAAATCTGCTTTACAAGACCTCTTTAAGAAGTGTTAAGGAGCAGGGAGGCAGGGCTTGATGGCGGATCAGGGAGAAGTGCAGTGAGAATTTCTGTCAACAATAGCACAGAATACTGGACAAACCAAGTTCAGGGGATAGTCCCAGAACTCTGAACCACATATAAAGGAATATTTAGAAAGTTTGAAGGCTTACCCCAGTGGAATTTGTAGTGGAATCAAGAAATCTAGTGCTTTCTGGGATCTGCTGGACTCAGCAGCTCCCAGAGCAGACATCTTGGGCAAAATGGAGTGGGGGAAGGATCAGAGCAGCCATGGACTGACGCCTGACCCCATCCTCGAAGATAAAGGTGTGTACATTCTTTTGTACATTCTTTTTTTTTTTTGTATCTGTTCATTGGTCTCTTGCTATCTGCACACCTCCGTTCTGGTGTCTAGAGAGGGGTGCATCAGAGAGTGGACACCACCACCCCCCAACCCTGGAGGATTCTACTACACATGGTATTCTCAGAATTTAAAAGGAAAGGCCCTGCTTAAAAACAAATGGCAATGCAAAATGGCTAGAGCTGGCACTGAACTGTTTATCACTAGGAAAAAGGCCTAAACTGGGGTTTTGGAGTGGGACAGACGACAGACTAAAAGGGAAACAGGCCAAAAATTAAATCCTGAGTTACATCATAATGACCAACAGTGGCATACTGAAATTTCTCAGGCGGCCTTGATGGCATGAAGCCTAGAAAGGGACATTGAAGTCATACTCATATTTGACTACAGAATTTTGGTGGTTGTTGTTCCCTCTTCTCTTTGTTCCGCGATTGTACACTACAGTATCCAATCTGTCTTTTTTGCTGTTGCTGTTTTATTTTTGGTACCCTCTTTACCTTTAGAGGGCTCTTTCTCTCCCTACATTGCCCAAGAAGAGACAGCAATTGTGGTCATATAGTCAAGCTATAATCATACCCTATAAAATCCCTCCATCCAGGCAAGAATCAATACCAGCTGCCATATACCAGGTAAACAGCCAACACCTGCAAACAGTTACTCTGAACTGAGTAATAAGAAAAATGAAAAGGGAAGCCCATCTCCTGATCACATCTACCTGGAGGCAATCAGAAAGCATAACAAAATATCTTCATACATCTAAATATTAAGGTCACAGCTAACTACTGAATATGCAAAAGAAACAAATGAACATCTCTGAACATGGCCAGCAACAAGATAAAGTGACTGCGACAAATGGAGGTAGACCTACACTCCATATTGGAAGAAGGCTTTGGAAATGCCTGAGAAGGAATTCAGAAAAATGATCATAAAATATATCAAAACTCTTTACAGAGCAGTTGAGAAAAATAAGGAAGAAGTCACGAAAGCACTGCAGGGATAGTCAAATAAGATATAGCATTGGAAACAATTCAAAACCTATAGAAAGAGGTCCAAACAATTAATAATAGAATATCAGAAATGGACAATACACTGAAAAGGCAAAGGAGTTGAATTGAAGAGAACTAGTGAACTAGAAGATAATTCTCTCAGTACTACTAAGATTGAAGAGCAAGCAGAAAAAAGGATTAAAAAAATCTGAAGAAGGTCTAAGATTCATATTGGACAACATGAAGAGGATTAACATAAGAATTATCAGCATTCTGGAACAGGAAGAATCATACAAGTCTACAGATGAGATAGTTGAAGAGCTACTGGAAGAAAATTTCCCTAACATCCTGAAAAGTGGAAAGATAAGCATTCAAGAAGCTCAACAAACCCCAGAAAGA